TTTGAGGTACCGTCTCTCCCCTTCTCACCTCTTTTGTATATTTTTGTTTGTGTACAAAGCATTCCATATATGGGTTCTCTAACAACACACACAGCACAACATAGTTTAGTAGGCAGCTAGTCACCTGGTACGGTTGAGTCTAGGACTAGGGGTGCCACCTCTGGGTGCCTGGATCACTCTTGTTCATCTCCCAATCCGACCATCTCCGTGTCTGTGCAGGACACTATGGCTAGGACTAGGTGGACGGCTATAGATTCGGAGTATAGGGAAGAGAGCACAGAAGGTGCGCCGCCTGAGGTAGAACAGGTTGAGGAAGCAAGAGGATCCCCTATGGGTGCATCCAGCACTCCTAGTAATGGGATCCTCGAATCTGAGAATGGAGACAGTGAAGAAGCCGTCTCTGTATCTGGCGCTGAGGAGGCGGATGAAGCTGCTTCTAAGAGAGACAAGAGTGAGTTCGCCTCTATGTCTAGGTCTAGCTCTGAAGAGAGCAGCAGCTCACTATCACCGGTTGAGGATAGTGAGGCAAAGGAGAGATCAAAGTGGAATAATGAGGGGGACCCTTTTCGATTCCATGTTTCTACCAGAGAAAAGGCAAACATGGAGAAGCACCTGAGGTCTTCACGTGCAAAGGTCTTCTTGGTGAGGGTTATGTCATCCGGGTGCCGCCTGAATTGGGTACCGTTGCCTAGAAGGATGACTAGCCAAATGCCAACAACTTCTTTGGCTGCTATGAGGCGACCTTCCTAGCCGGTCTCCACTTCCCCCTCCATGATGCGATCAAGGCTACCCTTCAAGGATATGGCCTAGGAGTGTGGCAATTAACCCCCAATTCTTGGATTAACATTTTGGATTACATTGTCGCTTGTGAGATGCAAAGCCTTCACCCCAGCTACAAGGCTTTTGTTCACATGCATTATCTGAGCCGTATCCAAGGTGGCTTACAGGCGTGGTATACCCTGACCACCTACCCCAAATACTTAATGACCCTAAACAAACCGTTTAAGTGATCTGTCTGGAAGAACAGGTTCTATCTGGTTTTTGCCCCCAAGCGGCGAGAGAACTTATTGTACCACACGTACAACAAGAAGCCCGATCTATTGGGGCAAAAGTGCAAATTTCCCCAAGTCCCGGATGAGGACTATGAAAAAATAAGAGAGGCGGGGTTTTTTGAGCTTACAACCACCGCTCTCTTAACCGGAGAATTAACAAGCGTACCCAAGAATTAGGTACCGAAGCATGAATTTTTGAGAGATGAGGCGTTCCTATCCGCCTGTGGGTTGAGCACCAAATTTGACAGACGTATGTTGAACATGCATCCGGCAATACTTTGCGGTCTAGTGTTTCTAACTTGTGATTTATTTTTGCCTGCTTGATGGTCTGACATACGGTTCTTTTTGCAGAAACCGGCAGAAGAATGCTCCCAGAAAACAAAACGCCTGGTCGTTCTGCAGTAGACATCCGTAGGGAAAATGCGGAGAAGAAAGTCGCACTGGCGGCTAAAGGCCAAGTATAAACCGCTTGCCCCAGTTTCTTCCCCATTTGCCTTATTTGGTTCGTTTTTCAAGATGGCGATAAGGGATCCCCTAGATCCTTTTCCATGTTAATTAGACAGAGGCCGGGTGACGAGGTCACCAGCTCCAATAAATCCAGAAAAACAACGTCTTCTCAAACGTCTTCCTAGGTTCCGCTTGACAAAAGTCGGCTGACCGTTGGGGGAAAGAGTATTAGAAATGTCAGTCTGGGGATTGACCTTTCTTTTTAGCCGGGTGCCTCTGAGGTACCGAAGGGTCGCCAGCCACCCAAAGCTGCAAGCGGTTCTGCAGCGGCTGTAGGGGATCCAAACCCTCAGCCTTATCCCCAAGGTACCGTTGACCCCTTCAACTCTCCCCTTGAGTTAGGTTGGCCAATGCGGGTCAAGTCACATTCCCAACTTCAATCAGAAGGATCTTCGGGCAGTCGGCGATCTGTTGGTGGTGCATATGTAGCTTTCTCACCATATCTAACTTCTGGTGCAGATCAATCCCCTCGGTGGCCGAATGTACAACAATACTCTAAGACCATGCTGAAGGCTGTCTCCAAGGAGGATATGGAAGCCATCCTCGGGATTCATACATTCAATGTTGACTGCATCCTTGCTATGCTGTCTGAGGTACAGTAGTTTTATTTACTATCTTTCAAGTGTATTGCCGGCTGCTTTTCTAACACCGTTTGCATTTATTCAGACAATGCTGCGAGTAGAGGGGCTAAATAAGTCGTATGCCCGGAAGTAGGAAGAGGTAAGACGGGCCAAGAGAGATGTGTCTGATACCACTAACGTTGCTCGGTATCAAATGCTAATTCATGATCTTGGGACTAAAGCTGAGCTCATGTCATAGGCGGACCCCATCAAGCAGCTCAAGGCTGCCCTCAATAAGGCTAATCTGAAGGCCTTTAATCTGGAGGCGGAGCTTGACAATGCTGAGTTGGAGCTAAAAGATGCTCAGGCGGGTCTCAAGTCCTTAGAGGAGACCAAGAAGGAGAATGCCACTCTCAAAGCAGACATCGACAGTCTGCAAAAGGAGATGGTCGCCTCTCAGGGCAACTTCAAGGCCACTCTATAAGCTTAGCAGAACTGCCTCATTGAGAAGAATGAGTAGGACTGCGAAGACTGGATGAGGATGGCTTGGGACCTGGTGTATCCGGAGGCTGAGTACAACGTATGGTACCTAGCTTACAGGTACTCGGATCTTGTCCTCTCAACAAGAGCTGGAGGAGAGCCGGAACCCGAGCCTTTCCAAGCGTTGGTCAAGAAGGAGCTTACAGCCGGCGAGGAGGGTGATGATGATGATGATGCAGAGGAGGAAAAGGAAGAAGAGCACCATAAGGCTGAGGTTGAAGCCCAAGTGAACTCTGCCCCAATTCCGCCTGCTAAGGATACTCTCCAAGCTCCGTCTTAGTAGTTTCAGCTTATGGTTACTACCTGTACTTCTGGCCTACGTGCCGTGTATTTCTTGTTATTTCCACAACATTCTTATTTCTCCGGATATGGATCCGGTTAACAGTTTCTCTCCCGACTTGTTGGTGGGTTTTTTATATTATGATTTGTTGATTATGTCGGTTTTGCCAATCTTTGCAACTTGCATTAGTTTTTCAATCTGCAATTTTTTCATCGTTCACATATTTTGCCAAGTAACCTAATACATGCGGTTTGCCGGATGCAGTAGGAGTGTTTGCCCCTGGACGGAAGTACGCTTGGTTTCGAAAGTGGATTGATTGACCTAGAAATTTTTGATACCCAAAAGGGGTATGACTGATTTCTGGGTCAACCAATCACCAAGGTGATTGCCCCAAACCAAGAGGACAGTCGTCCATTAAACATCCGGGCTAAATATCAGATGGTCGTTGAACGCGTTTGAATTAGTTTTTAGTTTTATTCTAAGTTGGAATGACAAGCGAATACCCGCGGGTATCAATAAGACATGCGGTTCTTGCTATGGCGTCTAGGTTCCTTAGTTTATTCAGGTCAGCCGGCTGTAATTTAATCCTTCTAGGAGTCTTTGCCGGTTAATTTCCATGATGAATTATGTCGCCGGATGTCTTGCTCCTAATGGAGCTGACGGGTTTAAATGAGTATTGTTTTAGCTTCTAAGGTTCTTACTTAGCTTAGATCTTCAATTTTAACCGTTTGTAGTGCTTTTGAGCAACAACCGATTGTATCCGACCTAGAAACCGGTTCGGTAGCCAAAGTTATCCAGGTTTCAATTGATCATTCAAACGGCTGCGAGTTATCTTAATCTAGACAATTGGTAGGGCCGCTTGCTTTTGAGTTTGTAGAGCAATGTACCACCCAAATGAGAGATGCTCTCTGCGACAAATTCACCGGCCGGATGGGTGTCGCCGGATGCCTACCCATGTTGGAGCAGGCGCTGGTTTTCAATATTATCTTGCCATTGGCCTCATTAATGTCATCCGATCATTGGCCTCATTAGGTTGTTTCGAAAGGAACAACACACAACTGCTAAGTTTTTGGACTTATCTTGTTTTATTTCTACTCACGTTGGAGCACACACAAAATTTTAACAAATCCGTTTGTACATTGCATAGACGGTTTTCATACACAAAGTAATGAATATGATTGAAAATAAAACGAGTTTTCATTCACAAACTTTATTTACAAAAATTTTAGGAGTCTCAGAAGTAGTATTTTTTCAGGTTGTCTATGTTCCATGTTCTGGCTAGCTGCCTGCCGTTTGGGGTTTCCAGGCGGTAGGTGCCGCCTCTTACTTCATCATAGATCCGGTAGGGGCCTTCCCAATTAGGAGTCAACTTTCCTTATTCATTTGCCCTACCGGTTGCCTCCATCTTCCGTAACACAAAGTCCCCCCCTTTCAAGGGTCGTTTGTGCACTCTTTTATTGTAGACTCTCACTAGTAGAAAAAATCAAATAGACACCCCCCCTTTAGCACCGGTTCTTGAAAATCGGTGCCAAAAGAAATGGGCGGGATTGGAAAATAGGGAGTTGGCACCGGTTCCAACCAAAACCAGTGCCAACTCATTTAATTAGCACCGGTTCAAACCAGTGCCAACCTTAAAAAAAAAAAAAAAAAAAAAAAAAAAAAAAAAAAACAAAAAAAGCAATAGAGTTGGCACCGGTTCGCCTAAAACCGGTGCCAACTATAGTAATTAGCACCGGTTTGAACTGGTGCCATTAAAAAAAAACCCGGTTTAAGGCGCGTCTTCTTCTTCAATTCATTTCCTTGCTCTTTCCTCTTTGTTCTCATCTAATCTGCCTCTCTCTCTCCTCCATTGTAGCGTACTCGAATTTCTCCATTGAAGGGGCTTCTGAGCTTTCCTAACACTCCGTCTCTCTCCTCCGATCTCCTTCTCCATAACCGTCACTTTCCCTTTCCTTTCTTCTCTCTTTCGATCTCCTTCTCCTTCTCTCTTTCTACAATATTGGAGGTTAGGGTTTCTGGGTGCGTCTATTTGAATCAATTCGATGTGCGTGCGTCTTCAACAACAACAAATTCGAATCAATTTCGAACCAAAAATCAGAAATTCGAGGTTAGGGTTTCTGGGTTTTTTTCTTGGATTTGCTCCTCTTCTCCTCTTTATTACTGCATTTTTTTTTTCCTTATTTTGTATTATTAATCTATCATAATCTTATATTTCTGTCAAATTAATATTTTTTAAAATTGATCATAAAATTCTACATTTGATAATGCTTGGCAACATTTAAATTTCAATTTGAAACTATTAATTAAGAATTATTCTTATGTAGAAATATTAGGGTTGATGTTAAAAATTAATTCCAATTTCAGCTCTAGAAATGAAGTATTGGGGTGGAAGAAGAAAAAGAGGTGTTTGTTTGGCTTCTTCATCTCAGAATTCAAGTAATGATGTTGCACGAAAAAGGTTTTCTGTTTTATTTCCTTATCTATGTCTTAGAGTTTCTGGTAGCACCGTAGCAGCACCTCGGTCGTTATAAATAGGATTTTGAAGACTTAAAATCAATGTTGGTACTTGGTACCATATAGATACTATATAGTTCTATTGATTGCGGAGTTTATCTTGGGATTAGTATGGGTAACTACTCTGCTTCTCCTGTTTTTGCTGTTTGAAATTTGCTGTGGTAATATGAATTTAGATGTCAATTTGCATAAAATTTCTGAGAACATTGGATACGATTATTTAGCTAAAGTTGAGGTTGAAGATATTGAAAACGAAGTAAATTCTGCTGTTATTTGCTACTTCCTTGAGGCTAATCTTCTAAATGTGTTTGAAAATTATATTAAATGCATATGGGTAGATGGGGGAGTTGCAATCTTGGCAACTTTCTTCTTTCAAGAGAGAATTATTTTTCGTGAATTAAATCTTTGATAGAATCATTAAATCATATAACTGATTTGTTGTAGGTTTAATGCTGTGCAAAGTTGGTTTTAATTAACTATGAACTTTGGTATTTATGATGCAAATCATACTTCGCATATCGCATTGATGAAATGATCAACAATATACCCTTGATAATATGATATACCAACTCAGGATTATTAACTTTTATTTCCTCTTTAATAACTACAGGTGTAGGTTAAATCAATTGTTATATGATTTCTACTCGTTAATCCGCATGTTTCAATATAAATGCCTCAAATTGACTTTTACCCTCAAATTGATTTCTACCAGAATTGGTGTTTGTTTTTCTTGCTGGCCTGGTTTTCTGTCTATTTCTTCTTTGTGTGCCTTGCTGAATTCTGGATTTGGCGTGTGTTCTGGAGTCTGTTCATCTTTGATTCATGCCCTGAGTCTGTCTTTTCTATCTGCTGGGTTGAGTTGCTGTTTCTCTAGCTCTTGTTTTGTCTATTGTGTGCTGCTGCAGGCTGTGTTATACTGTGATGCTGAGCTAGTCAGTATGCTGGGGTTGTTTGACTGTTCCTGTGCCTGCTCAGAGCTTCTGTTTTTTCTGCCTGATCATATATTAATTCTTGTCACTGTGTCCATGGCTACATGAACGATATTCAATTTTTTTCTTCATTTACAGGTACTGTGAGAACTTCATTAGAGTTATCTGAGGAGGAATGGAATAATAACTTCAAAACTAATTTGACTAGGGCATGGTTGGTTTCAAAAGCTGTATGCATACGCATGCGTGATGCTAAGATAGAAGGATCAGTCATCAATATATCTTCAATTGCTAGTCTGAACAAAGGCCAGCTACTTGGATCCTCAGCCTATTCTGCATCAAAGGCAGGCCTGAATACACTGACTAAGGTATTTCTACTTGACTAGAGTCAACCTTAAGTGATTACCACACTAACTAAGGAAGCTTATCCTTCGTGCTTGAGTCCTTCCAACTGCTTTTAAATAAGAGTATCTTCAATATTTAGATACGTTATTATTTTCAATTTACAAAGGAGTATACACTGTGAATATTCATGGCCATTGTTTGATCTGATATCTAACCAAGTTCTATTAGTTCTCAGAATTCTAAAGATTTTGTGTAATAGTGTTTATAAAGTGTTTCAGAAATTAATTAAATTTTGGTCACTGAGAAATTAAATTTTGGCATAATTATTTTGTATAATAGTATTTATAAAGTTTTTCAGAAATGTTCGCCCCTTTTGAGTACTTAATCTTACATTAACACAGTAAACTATACATGAAAGAGGTGTGGGATTGGTTATGCCAGCAGTCATACTTTGAAAAATAATTGTGCCATCATGTAAATTTAGTGTTCCCCCCATCCCTGAGAAGGGTGCAAAATTGCAGCAAAATTGTGTCATGTGTAGCTATCTAACGGTGAGTGATGGTGCAGATGATGGCCCTGGAACTCGGCATGTATAAGATTCGAGTTAATTCCATATCTCCTAGACTATTCAGGTCTGAGATCACCGAGAATCTGATGGAAAAGGACTGGCTTAACAAGGTTGCTGTGAATACTGTACCTCTACGAACATTTGGAACATCTGATCCAGACTTAACATCTCTTGTCCGATACTTGCTCTTCGACTCCTCAGAATATGTAACATGCAACTTTTTCATCGTCGATGCTGGTGCCACTCTACCCGGTGTCCCTATTTTCTCTTCCCTCTAGGTATGTATGTCCCTATTTTCAGTGCAACAGGCCAATATATCTGTAACTAGGACAAATATGTCTGTTTTGCTGTATAGCTGTCTAATTGTTCAATTGAAAAGTTTCATTTGGAAAATAAAGGTTGAAGCACATATATATATGAAATATTTGATATATTATGTTTATATTATACAAGCAAATTGACTAATGAATTGAAAAGCTGATTTTGATTCAAATTGAAGATAATCTTAGTTTTGATATCATCTTGAATTTTGAATACGTTACCCTATTAAAGTTGCAATCTTGTTTGATCGTTTTAACATTAATTATTTTATTGGCTGCTAAAATTTATGTCATTTGTCTAGTGTAATTAACAATCTCTAAAAGAAAAAGAAGATTGTTTTCTCTGGTTCGCCCTTTTTAAATGTCAGTGACTAAACTGCTCGAGGTGGTTTGGTGATGGGTTCCACTGAGCACACAGGTTAGCACCAAGCTCATCTGAAAATGTATAAGGCTAACCATGTCGTCCATTTACGATTAGAGTTCGGCTAAAAAGAAAACTAGTTCACCAGTGAACCAAGAAAGTAAGGCAGGGACAAAAATTGGTAATTCTTATTTTATGTGGGGTCCACACTCTTCCTTCTGTGTGGTTCACTAGTGAACTACTCCATGGTTCAGTGTTTACTCGTTCTTATATTTAGAATGAACCTGCTTTCTCCTCTCCATTTCCACAGTTAAGATCATTGATTTAGAACAGAGTCACAGACTACAGTCAAATAACTTACCGGAGTTTATGTAGAAATTTATTATTGTGGTAGAGAGAAATCAAATCCTTAGCCGAGTTAGTCCCACAGTCTGTGTACCATTGCATATATCAGATATATGTGCCGTTTATTTTGTCTGGTTCATAAAAAAAGTGTCGTGCTGTAGTAATAGTATCAAGCAATCGAAATGTGTCACACATGAACAACATACATGTCACTTATACACAATGTGGGATAGAGGATTCTATACATCAGAAATTCAGTCATTGAAGGGGATAACATGTGTATCATTAAATTTATCTAGCATACACGATAGATCTTTTGAGAGGTTGCTAATTTCATAATCAATGCAGATATGGACCTTATGAAGATGGATTGCTACAATTTCATCCTTTGTTTTAGAGAAGCTAACACGGCAGGAACCTCATGGAAGCGCAAAACATGGCATCAGCATTCAGCACACCTCCTTAATTAACCTTGTTGGTGTGGTTTGATTGATGTTAACTTTGCCTAATTTCCTCTATTATCGGAAAGGCTGTTTTAGGTTAATCTTTTCCTATCTGGTTTGCTATGGTCTGTCTTATAACTTGAAACTATCTTATAATATTTCTTACTATTGTTCATCTGGCTTTAGGTTAGAGAATCGTCTCTCAAAGCATAATAAGTTTCTGCATCATATGCGAGTTGAACATAAGGATCTAGTGTCACCCATGATCATTTCTGGAAATCAGTTTACAATGATCAGTCAACACCAAGTAGCTACAAGGGAATACTTGGAAGCACATAAACAAATGCCAAATTCCCCACTGACCAATCTCTATGTCGGTATGTTTTATGTAATTTTATCCGAATCTGATTAATGTGAGTGTGCTGGTGTTGATTCTCCATTTAACTGATGCATCTTACTTTGCAGGGACTGCCTTAATCAATTTAGCCCTTAGACATAGACTTCAAAACAAGCATCAGTGTGTTGCACAAGGCTTAGCTTTCCTTTACAACAATCTGCGACTTTGTGAAAATAGCCAGGTAAGCAGGTGTTGTTAAATAAGAAAACTTGTTCAGGGATGAAGTTTAAAAAGTTGACAAGTCTATTACATTAATAAATATTATCTGATTGCCTAATATTAATGTTTTTTCTAAGTTTGTAATACCAATTTAATAAATAAGTCTTTTACTTTGTGTGCATAATCTTAAAGTCACTCATATGAGACTATAGTACTAATCCAAGTCATTTCAGGAAGCCTTGTATAATATAGCTCGTGCATTCCACCACGCAGGACTTCTCACATTTCAGGAAGTCTTTTTGGGCTGCTGTTTTTTGTTTTGTTCTCCGTAGTTTTGGCTTTGTGTTAGGTGTTGTCCCGGTCCCTGTTTTAAGTGTAATGCAAGAAAGGTCGATCAGAGATAAGTCTGGATTATTTATTTTTTTTGGACGAAAATTGTAATATTACAGGCTTTATAGCCTTTTTTAATGAAAATATGTAAGTTTATATATATGTTAATGTTTCTACATCAATTTAAGTGAAAAAAAATGCAAAAAAATTTTTTTTTTTTTTATTTTTTTGGGGTATTTCTGGCACCGGTTTGTACCAGAACTGGTGCCAAAAGTTTTTTTTTAAATTTTTTTTGAGACTATTGTCACCGGTTTTAGGCAAGAACCGGTGCCTCGCACCGGTTCTTGCCTAAAACCGGTGCCAATAGTGTTGATAATAAAAAAAAAAAAAAAATTCGTGCGTTTGAAGTTGGCACCGGTTAACTGGTGCCAAAGCCTTTAGTTGGCACCAGTTTTGAACCGGTGCCAAATTTTCGAGGATTTGGCATCCCTCAAATCCCCAACAGTTCAAAACCGATGCCTTAGGGGGGGTTTGAACCAGTGCCAAATTACCTTTTTCGTCTAGTGTCTGGTCATTCTTAGACGGTATATCTCATGAAGCATGGCGACATTGCTCCTGCACTCCGAGAGTGAGTCCAATGCTAGCCGCATGGCCTCCCAATTAACCTCTTCGTCATAAAGCATGACTCGAAGGGTGGGCTCATAGTGCTCAATCGCCAAGACGACTTATGCACCGTACGTCATAAGAAACGGGGTTTCACCAGTTGCCCCTTTTTCACTTATTCTAATGGCCCATAAGACATGAGGTGATTCATCTGCCCATAGACCGCCTGCCCTTTCAATTTTCTTCTTAATGCCGTTTGAGATGAGCTTGTTGAAGGCTTCAATCTGGCCGTTTGTTTGGGGACGGCCAACTGATGTGAAGCAATGTAAGATCCCTTGATCTCCCAACCAGTTGTTGAGGGTAAGAGTCTCAAACTGAGGGCCATTGTCAAAGACCATAGACATAGGTACCCCAAACCGGGTGATAATATTCCTCCAAATGAAGAAGATGACATCCTTTGTCTTTATGCCTTTGACCGCCTCTGCTTCTACCCATTTGGTGAAGTAGTCCACAGCAACTAGAACATATCGCCGTTCACCTACAACAGGCATATACGGGCCCAAAATGTCCATGCCCCATTTGGCAAATGGCACTGAGCAGTTAATAGCCGTCAGGTCAGTAGCCGGATGGTGTATGAGCATGCCAAATCTTTGACACTTTTAACACTTCTTTACCATTTCCATGGTGTCTGCCTCAAGAGTGGGCCAAAAGTAGCCTTGCCACCTGACAATTTTTGCTAGAATCCTGCCGCCTACACGTGATGCACAAAAACCCAAGTGCAGATCCTCTAGAACCTCTTTCCCCCTTTCTAGGGTGACACGTTTCAATAACAGCTGTAGATAGCCCTTCTTGAAAAGTTCTCCCTTGTGAATCTCAAAGCTTGCGACATGTTTTTTCATTGCAGCCGCTTCTGAGTATGCATCCGGTAGAGTACTGATTAGGGGATTTTGCTCCCACCAATCGGAATGCGCCACGTGGGCCAATCAGGTCCTGCCAAGTGTCCCTCAGTTGGAACTGTCAGGGCTTGCCACGTGGCACACACTTATTCGTCCACCTTGGACCTATTATGTCATGACGCGTGGCATACTCCATGCCTAATGGAGAAACCGGCCACCCAGGCCCAACTTCCGAGGGAAGCCCAATCAGCCCTAGGTTAACCTAAACCTAGGATTGGCACGTTTCCCAAGGTTATAAATACCTCCCTTAATCCTCATTAAGGGAGATTACATGAATTACACGCTGAAAAACGCAGATTACTCACATTAAACACTCTCACCTAGAGAAGTCTAAACACATTGATCACTCCTCACCTAGAGGAACCAGATCTCCCACCTTTATTTTCCGCATTTATTACTCCTCAAACAAGTACTAACTTGACCGTCGGAGGCGGAGCTCCCACCACAAGGAGTCTCCGTTTGTTTTGCAGGTACAGGCGTCCGGTTCCAGTCTCAGAATTGTAACTCTCCCGCAGGACATCAGAAAACCCCGAAACAAGTACCGTCTGCTAGATAAGCCCGGATGCCATCCATCCAGGTTGAGCTTCGGTCCAGAAATTCAATGGGATCCTGTTCAATACTTCTTTTTTCCATAACTTCCCAAAAGACTGACCTAGGCGTATCACATGAGGCGGATGATGACAGCTAAGAGAGAGCATCCCACTGATTGTTTTCTGACCTGGGCACTTGACTTGGATGAAATTCATCAAGGGTCCCGGCCTCATTTTTTACCGCTTGCTAATATTTGATCATAGCCGGGTGGGTGGCCTCATATTCACCATGGTATTGGCTAACAATCAGTTGTGAATCAGAGTAAGCATCAACTTTTCTTGCCCCTGCCGCCTTGCACATGTGGATACCGGCTATTAAGGCTTCATATTCCGCCTCATTATTTGAGGCTTGAAACATGAACCGTAGTGCATATTCATACTTGTCCCCTTCAGGGAACTGGCATATAATCCCTGCACTACAGCCGTTCATAGTAGAACTCCCGTATACATACACTTTCCAAACCTGGTCAAGATTCTCCGATTCAACCGGCTTTGTCATTTCGACAATGAAGTCGGTAAACGCCTGACCCTTCACTGCCTTCCTTGGTTCGAAAGAGGTTTCAAGACTTTGCATTTCAATAGCCCATTTTAGCATCCTGTCGGATGACTCCAAAGTTGTCATTGGCCGTTGAGGGGTTGATCTGTGTAGATCACAACCGGATGTGCCAAGAAGTAAGGTTTTAACTTCTTGACTGCCATGAAAGGAGCAAGGCCAAATTTTTCAACCATAGGGTACCGTAGTTCGGCATTTTGAAGAACAGGGCTAATGAAATAGACCGGGAGCTGAATGTCGTCTCTCTCAGCAAGGAGAATGGCACTTAGGGCGTGATCTAAGACGACTAAGTACATGTAAAGCACCTTCTGTGGCAGAGGGCTAACAAGCCTTGGCAATAAATGCAAGTGTTTTTTCAACTTCAAAAATGCCGCCTCAGCATCCTCCCCCCATTCAAATCTAGTCTTCTTTTTTATTGCTAGGAAGAAAAAGAAGCACTTGTCACCTAACCAGCTGAGGAATCTCCTCAATGCCGCTAGACAACCGGTTAATTTTTTAACTTCCTTAACAGTGCGGGGTGACATCATGTCAATGAACGCCTGTATCTTTTCTAGGTTGGCCTCTATCCCCCTTTGATCAATCAGAAATCCGAGAAACTTCCCTGACTCAACACCAAAGACACACTTCTTAGGATTGAGCATGACCTTATGCCGCCTGAGGGTGGTGAAGGTTTCTAGGAGGTCAGCAAGGTGATCCGTCTGTAGCTTGGATTTGACTATCATGTCATCAATGTATGCCTCTACATTCCTACCAATTTAATTAATGAAGACCGTATTAATCATTCGTTGGAAAGTAGTAGGCGCATTTTACAACCCAAACGACATCACAGTATAACAGAATAACCCCTTATCAGTGACGAATGTCGTCTTCTCTTGATCTTTTTTCCACAAGGGTATCTGATGAAAGACAGAGTAGGCATCCATAAAGCTTATCAAAGCATGACTAGTTGTAGAGTCGACCAAATTGTCGATCTTTGGAAAGGGATAACTATCCTTCGGACATGCCTTGTTCAGATCTGTGTAGTCAACACATATCCGCCAGTTGCCATTCAGTTTTTTTACAAGAACAACATTTGCAACCCAATCCGGGAAGTAACATTGCCGAATGAACAAAGTATCTAACAGCTTCTTTACTTCGCCAGCTGCCGCCTGACTTCTTTCCTCATCGTGGTTCCTTTTCTTTTGCCTAACCGACTTCTTTTTGGGATTCATGGCAAGTTTATGAATAGCCGTAAGATTAAGCGGCCTCCTCCTAGTCATTCCAATCACTTTACCTCACTGAAGAATTAGCTTTCTAATAATTCTGAACCCTCTATCGGAATAATACACTTGTTGGAAGGACACCATTCCTTTCAATCTCCCACTTGTCCTTCCGAATAAGTGTGCAGTTAGTGTATAACCCTTTTTCTATGTCGCTTAATGTCTCTTCATCAACTATAAGGTAAGATGCTTCGCCATCCTTATTACGTCTAGAGGTGTTTTTCGATTTTCGAGTTCGACTGTCAATAAGAAGATGATTTCTAAACTCCATTTGAGCACGACCATGCATTTTCACAATCTCGCTCTTCAAGAGGCCTTGTAAACAACAAAGACAAATTCCCTATTGTTTATAGGCGGACATTTCCAGTCTTGTACTATAGGCTACCCTTATTGAGAGGACCTAGCCGCCCGAGTGTTGCCGTTATAATCCCTTCTTACGGCAGATGTTTGACAACATCAAAATGACTGGTACTCAAACAAGAGAACTTACAATACTCATGGTCGAGGAAAGAGGTTCCGATAGCTATAATGAGAAATGTACTTATGGCGGTTTTTAAATCTCTTAAAGTACCCTCATAGGTCGATCCAGTATAGTTCCAAACTAGTACCTGTGCAAATGATTTATGACTATCATGTCCTCATAGCACAAGAAACGGTGCTATAAATCATACTACACATTAATCTCAAGTGGTCATTAATCATCCATCATTTAAATGACCTTGATTAGGGATAATTTTTTTATTGAAATATTCAATGTTCACTGAACAAGTGTTTCTTTATCCAATACATGGTCTTGATACCCTTTTGAATATTCTCATAAATTGAATGGACTCATTATTTAATTCTAAACCACGATTAAATATAAATGGAGTAATAATAAATTTGCAGAAAATTTAATTGCTCCAAAACCGAATGGTTCAACATAGTGTTTAACATGAAGACATCAAGTTTAATTAAAACACATATACAGGGAAATCAAAGCCAATCTCCAACATGCTTGATTCCCATTGCTTCAACGTGCTTGTTGTGCTTCACTTGAGGCAAAGGTTTAGTCAATGGATCAGCTACATTTTCTTCCGTTCCAATCTTACAAATTCTGATATCACCCTCGAACTTTTATTCCCTATCATGTGAAATCGCCGCTTGACATGTTTGACCTTCTGGTGTTCCCTTGGCTCCCTGGCCTGAGCAAT